GAGGGAACCCACCGAAGCGGAAGTTGAAACCCTTCTAAGACATGGCGCGGGAGAACGAAATCCCACTTTTATTTGTTGGTTCAAGGAGGAGGTACTGTTCAATTTCATTTGTTGTTTGTACTTAACTCTCAACTTGACAAATATATAACGAATCATCCTACTTGAACTAGCAGGCCAAAACTGACATGTCTATGAGTGCCGAGTTGAGGCAAGTTGCCAATGGATTTGAATTTAGGGTCAAGTCATTCTCTGTGTACGATGTCAATGGATATCGCTTTCACACAACTCGGCATGAGCAGAGTCGGCCGAATCGAAGAACCACAAATACCGGTGTTTTCACGCCAGGCACAGATGGGTTGGACTACTATGGAATAATTGAAGAAATATACAAACTCAAGTTTTCACGGTTGTGTACCTCTTCATCTGTCATATTCAAATGCCATTGGTTTGATCCCAAAGAAGTGATAAAGACCCACGAGCTTGGGTTAGTCGAAGTTCTAAAGTCATCCGTCTTGTTAGGAGACGGCGTGTACATTGTGTGGCCCAACAGGCCACGCAAGTTTATTATCTCTCATACCCGTGCCAAACCAAAGACCGTCTTAAGGCGTATGATGTTGTGTACAAGGTATCGCCGCATGGTAAAGTACCCGTCCCAAACGATGATGATTATAACATCGATGCAAACACATATGACGGAGAGTTCTTTCAAGAAGAAGGATTAGAAGGGAGTTTTGAGATTGTCTTAGATGTAGATCTCGCAATGGAAGTAGACAATGATACGATCATTGTTGACGGGGATGATGGAGAGGAGGTTCACAACGCGAAGGACTTGTTATTACTTGAGCAACACCACCATTGAGCGGTGTCGCTAGTGATGAGACTTTGAGAGACGATCATAATTACGTCGACAATAGCGATGATGATGATTTTTGGCCCACCTATCGATGATCTTGATGATTATTTCTAGTACATGTAAGATCTGTAGTACTTATGGCAATTTTATACATGTATGATACATTTACTTATTTTGCATCTCTTTTATACATGTATGATATATTTACTTATTTTGCATCTCTTTTATACATGTATGATACATTTACTTATTTTGCATCTCTTTTATACATGTATGATACATTTACTTTTTGTATATGCGTCTTGATAGTTTATTCCTTTTGTTGCGGGTGATTGATGGTGGGCGGTGGAATCGAGAAGCTTAGGTCGGTTATGACCTTCTTGGGCTGGTGGCGAGGGGTCCAGCCAGGGTGGAGGAGGAGGGCGTGCACAGACTGAGGGTGGAGGGCGTGCCCAGGGAGGAGGAGGACGACGACGACGAGGGCGTGCCTAGGGAGGTGGAGCCCAGGATGGAGGAGGAGCCCAGGGTGGAGGAGGAGGGGCGGCGGCAGCGAGGCGTCGAGCCGACACCTCCTCCACTGGGACGACGACCACGAGTTCGTAGCGGCCACGGAGGAGGATGAGGAGGAGGAGGAGACCAGGGAGGAGATAGCGGAGGCGGTGGAGGAGGCACGGAGGGAGGATGCTTCCGAGCGGGTTGAGCGCAAGGAGGATGCCGACTTGGTGGCAGAGGAAAATGGGGTGCCTACGGTTTGGCTGCGAGGGTCATCGCGCCTCCCAGACTTACCCATACAGAGACGGCCAGTGATTCGACCATCCGGAACTAAGTAATTTTTGCATGTTAACACTAATTCACAGGTTTTTAAGTTATAACAGAAACTAATATTCAATCTCAATAACTTTGTGCGAGGGATTGGGAAATGGTGATCCTGTGGAGTCACTCTTGCCGAGTAAGCGGGATCCTGGGTCTTCGTGCGAGGCAAACTACCCGGGATGGTGAGGATCGATGGTGTTGTGCAGCCCGCCATGAAGTGGTCCCATCAGCACGCCGCCGGTGATCGATCGATCGAGTGCGGGGTGTTATAATGTTGAGCAAGGCCGACCGGGTGATGAAAGAGCTGCCAGGTACGTGTTCATCGCACTATGCTGATAATAACATCACATTAATTGTATATTCTTGATTGTATTTGCTTGTAGGATTACTACACCTTGGCGGAGGGAGTACGTAGGGAGGGCCGCGGATGACGTGGTGAAGCAGTGCTGTGTTCACCGAAAGTGCAGGACCTCTTCTACGAGACAAAGCTCCTGTGCAGAAGAATTTACCATGCCCGCAGAGGAAACAGAGTCACCAGAGCGCAGGCAGTGCACCTACCCCTGACTAAGGAGCAATACTTGACGGTAAACATGAGATTACATCGTCTGTGATTAATTGCACTGAAATTGATTTATGATTTGTCATGTGCTCATGTACGTGCAGGTGCCTCCTGCTTGGTGTGCGGGGATGGACAACTGCCGGGAGGCCATTGTGGACACGTGGTTGAGTGAGGAGTACGAGCAATATCACGCCGTACGCTCACGTTGCCGTGCGATGATGCAGGGTTCCTCGCACAAACAAGGGCCCACTACCCTCAAGGAATATGCAGCCAGATATGTACGCGGATTTCATTTCGTTGTTGCTACGCTAACTTCTGAATGCATAATATCTTATTGTTGTGCTTCTTCCTGCAGACGCGGTTCCACCCCGGCCAGGAGTGCGCCTCGTTCAAGGCATATGCCTTGGCACACAAGGGCAAGGCAAAGGACCCCGACCTCGTCTACAACCCGGAGGACCCGCCCGAGGCATACAGTAACCTGAGCGTGCACAGTCGCCTCAGCGAGTACACGGCGATGGCGAGAGAGATCCATGGGCCAGAATTTGATCCGAGCACCGCTGACCTCGAGGGTGACATCGTCATGAGGTTGGGACCAGGTAAGCCACACGGGAGGTACTATATGGGCAACAGCACCATAGACACGGCCAACACTCAGACACTCGCCCAGATTAGAGCCCGGAGCACGAGTTCGAGCCCGGCCATACGCCCACGCCACGGCCCCGGTGGTAGCACTCGGAGTTAGTTCTCAGCATTCGTTGTCCATTCATTTTCTACCCGTTCTTTATTTGCATTCTAACTATGTGATAAATAATTGTAGGCCCAGATTGAAGCCCTGCAGAGTCACAGTGAGCCTCACAGAGAGCGGGCCAGCCCTCGGCTATCGCACCAGCCGAGTTAGCACAGGAGAGAGGCGAGTGAAGAGCAGCCTGACTTGAGGCCTTCCAAAGTGATCGCATGAAGAAGGCAATGCACGAGTACATGGCCAGCTTTTCTCGAGCATGGGCCAGCCTCCACCGCCTCCGCCGCCGCCGATGATACTGTTGGTGCCTCCACCTCACAAGGTGACAGCAAGCACTCCTGTGAGTCACTCTTCATCTTGAAAGGCTTTTTCAGTTCAGATTGTGCTACGATCAACACTATCATGTTAGAACCTAGAAGAGAGTAGGATACATACATGTATAAGTTAGATTATTAGTAATATTGTTCAGACCTTGAAAGGCATCATGTTAGGTTCTACATGAGTACATAGGTGTTTGCCCAATTCATGTTCGATCTACTCGACCATGTGTGACGATATCTTGCACATAGGAGAACTAAACAGCAACTAACTTGATATGTGTTATCTATTATATGCCTATATATTGATGTCACTGTTAAATTGTCTTTCGAAGGAATATTTGAATTTGGCATACTACCTTATGATTAATTGACAAATATGTTTATTTTCTTTTGCTCCCTCATTCCAGGGACCTTCTACAGCTGGATCGAACAACGATCAAGACTTGGACTTGTCTCCGTTTCTCGGTAGGGCTCCGACCATGTGACAGGACCATGTTTCACTTGTTTGTATGTTGGACTTAGAAGTGGGTTGAACTTTGTGGACTTTGGACATGTTGATGGTGTTTGTGGACTTTGCATTGTGCTTGTGACATTTGTTGTAGCTATATGTTGGTTATAATGAGTGGATGTGACATTTGTGGACATATATGTGATATATATTGTCTATCTGTTGGTAACTGTGATATTCTGTTATAATTGTTGTTAATTGTGGCTGGATATGCACTGAAACAAAAAAAAATACTGTGGACAAGTTTTACCGAGTGTAACACTCGGTAATGGTGATGTTTACCGAGTGTTACACTCGGTAAAACAGAGAACAGAACCAAATTGGTTCTGATTCTGTTAATTTTGCCGAGTGTAACACTCGGTAAACATCACTCGGTAAATGAGTTACATGTTTACCGAGTGTTACCGGTACACTCGGTAAACTATATTAGGAAAAAAATATTTGCGGAATTGTTTTAATCATGAAAATGGTTATCTGTTTACCGAGTGCTATGTCTAACACTCGGTAAACGACGCCGTTAACGGCAAGCTTGGGGACTGACGACCGTCACGTCGTAGTTGTTTACCGAGTGCCGGCGTAGCACTCGGTAAAATGTATTCTCCGAGTGCCCCGTTAGTTGACACTCGGTAAACTAACTTTACCGAGTCGTTGTTTATCGAGTCATGTTTACCGAGTGTGGCACTCGGTAAAAAATTTACCGAGTGTTTATCCATATTTGCCGAGTGTTTATCACACTCGGTAATTAATCAGTATCCCGTAGTGAGTGCTGATTTAGATGCAAAAATAAGTTCTAATTTAGGAAAAAGTTTTTTTTATTATGATTTCAATAAAATTATTGGAGTTTTGCTATTTATTTCTCCATGCATGTAAACTATATACTGTGGCTGGATTTTCGGTTGCGTGCGCATTCATACACATACAAGTTGTCAAGTGGCTCATCGACAGAGTTAGCCACAAAAATCTACATCATGCATCCCTGGCACTTTCCAATTGGCAATTTGGCAGCATCTTGGTCTATTCTTCTCGGTCAACAATCAAGGGCAGTTTTGTCATTCCACTGGACATTATACTTTTCTACTACTAAGTTCTAACCTCTCATCGTCCCGGCGGCCAGCCACCGGCCACCTATAAATACACGCACGCTCCATCCCAAACTTCCCAAGCAGCTCGCCTAGTTCCACAAGAAAGAAGCTCGCATAGTAGCACCAATGGCCGCCTCCTCGTCCTGGATCCTCCTGCTCCTGGCCGCCACCTTCACAGCCAGCGCCAGCGCGGCGACCTTCACCATCAAGAACAACTGCGGGTTCACGGTGTGGCGGCGGCGACGCCCGTGGGGCGGGGCACGCAGCTGAACCCGGGCGGGACGTGGACCATCAACGTCCCCGCCGGCACCAGCTCGGGCCGCGTGTGGGGCCGCACGGGCTGCTCCTTCAACGGCAACAGCAGGGAGCTGCCAGACGGGCGACTGCGGCGGCGCGCTCGCCTGCACCTTGTCCGGGAAGCCTCCCATGACGCTGGCCGAGTTCACGATCGGTGGCAGCCAGGACTTCTATGACATCTCGGTCATCGACGGCTTCAACATCGGCATGGCCTTCTCCTGCAGCACCGGCGTGGGGCTGGTGTGCAGGGACTCGAGCTGCCCCGACGCGTACCACCAGCCTAACGACATGAAGACCCATGCGTGTGGCGGTAACAGCAACTACCAGGTCACCTTCTGCCCGTGAGGTTGTATCGGAGAGTGATTTCCAGGAATAAGACGCACGTGTCGTGGTAACATGTCCAAGCGTGCATGCATGTATGTGCACGCCTATGTATGTATACATGGATTTGTGTACGTAACGTATACACCAGTGAATATATAATATAATAAGTCGCTGTTCATAATGTCATGTTGGAATTAAAGCCGGGATGATACAGCAAAGAGAGGAAAAAATGTTAATTATTGCCACGAAGTGATTAAACAAAAAAATGAAGGTATATTATATGGCTATACTAGAACGCTAAATCTATGTATATATGTGTATGTATATATATGCAGTCTGGTCCCAATCACGGCGTATCGCCTCCCATGCCTCCTCCCAAACATCACCTATAGCCCTAAGCGAGCGGCCGGATTTCTACCATCAGTCATGGTCAGGCGCATCCAAGGAGCCAAGTAACAGCACAGGGACAAGACATGCATGGCCAGGCACCAGTGCATGGGTATGACACGGCTACAGTGCAAGGCAATGGAGCCAACCTGCAAGCGGCGCCAGGCACTTCCTCCAATCCAACCATGGGGGTATCATCTTCGACCACGACGGCACCGGCAACAGCTGATCTCAATTCGGTCACTGCCCCACCAAATTTCAACAATGCGATGATTACGTCTGATGCAATAGAGCCATCCCAGAAAGGGAATCAAAAGAGCAAGGGTAAGCCCTACTGTTACCGCTGCCATACTAAAGGGCATACAATTTCAGTTTGTACAACAGTTCTTAGCTGTGAGATTTGCTATGGGGATCATGTTAAAAAAGTTTGCCCAAACTTGAAGAATCTCCAATCTACTGCTATACCATGTGGTTATGCTGTTCAAGGTCTAGGATTCTATTTTATACCTGTTGCAGAAAATCCAAAAGTAGTTTCAGATGATAAATCAGCTGTGGTACGTGTTCTGGAAGGTTCTCTTACTGTAGATCAATTGGCAGTAGAACTCGACAAACTACTACCCGGTAACAGTTGGGTGATTGAGGAGAAGGGCAATGATGCCTTTACCACTAATTTCCCTTCTGCGGAAGTGCTTAATCACATGGTGAACTGGGGTCCGATGGACACCAAAACAATTAAAGGAAAGATTAGTTTTGCTTAATCAAATATGAGATTGATAAGGTTTGGGTACAGTTTCGGGGATTACCAAAGGAACTGCGAGAGTTCCCTATCATTTGGACAATTGGTTCCATTATAGGTGTCTCTCGAGCAGTTGATACTAAATTTACAAAGAAGTATGGCAGAGCTAGAATGAAAGTAGCCGTGCTGGATCCCCATCTCATCCCAGATTTTGTGGATGTAGTCATTGGGGACTTTGTTTATGAGCTACAATTCAGAGTGGAGAAGGATATGTCTGATGGTGAGCCACAAGTCATTGACATGGATTCTACCATGGACGAGGACAAAGCACCAGAGGAAAAAGGGCCGGAGAACATGGATCATGATGGTAAAAAGATGGAAGACCCATCAGCTGGCCAAACATCTGAAAAACATCCTGATGCCTCAGTTGCACCGAGTGGACAGCACAAGAGTAAGGCTACCACTGTTGTTTTTACTGAGCAGGAAGACCTTGCAGCCGCTGGGACCCAGGAAGATTTTATGAGTACTGCAGAGGTACCCCATCATGTTGATAAGGAAGGCGAAGGTTCCAACTCAGTTACGAAAAGTGATATAGTTAAGCCTGTGGTGCTACTTACCCAGACTGGGATGGCTCCAGATGGATCTGCAATGTGGAGAGCCAGCATGTTGCAATCCAAGATTGACTCTGGCACTTTGAACAAGACTAAAGCACTGAGTGGTGGGGTACAGTCGCCAGTGAGAGCTAGTAAAAGAAACGCGTCTACTTCTGAGCGAGACTCATTGGAGAAGGCAACAAAGTTAAAGGCGCGTAGGAACATGGATTCTTCTTCTATCAAAGGTACAGAACCACTTTATTTTGATGTTTTTGATGATTCTTCTTTACTAGCTTCTACTGGCTCACTTGGTATATCACTTGGGGCTAATGAACAGGAAGTTACATTGTCTTTGCAACATCTTAGAGACATAGAATCAACCAGAATGTCTGAGAGTAACTTGTTAAAAGTAGATGCCAGCTCTTTAGTAGGGGATGCTTCAACTGTTAGTTCAGTAGATGAGGACCTAGACTTAGATGCTTTAAATCACATTTGTGCCGAAATCTCTGAAGACCTAGGTGATGGCGGCTGTGACCCGCTGTGTCTACAGACCCCCATATCACATCTCAAGAAGTCTAGGTCCAAAATAAAAAAAAATAAGAACAAACTAAAACCAAAATGAAAGGAATTTTCTGGAATAGCAACGGTTTTGCTGACACAAAGAAATATAAATTTCTTTCCGATTTAACAAAAGAGAAGAACCTAGACTTCATAGCTATATCGGAAACCGGCAGAGCCAATTTTCAGCAGTCCACTTTGAATAATATCTGCGCTGGCAGAGATTTTCTTTGGCATTGCATGGCTCCAAGGGGTCGGTCCGGTGGCATGATTCTAGGGGTAAATCTCTTAACCTTTGACATTGGACAAATAGAAGAGGGGGACTTTTTAATTAGGTTTAAGTTGAGACACAAGGAGGATGATTTTAAGTTCAATTTAATCTCAGTGTATGGCCCAGCTCAAGCGGATCTTAAATCACATTTCTTATCCGAATTAGTCCGAGTATGTTCAAAAGAAGCATTACCTATTATTATAGGTGGTGATTTTAATATTATTCGTAGACCGGATGAGAAAAATAATGACAACTACAATGATAGGTGGCCTCTTCTGTTCAATGCTGTTATAGATACTTTAAACCTTAGAGAATTAGAAATGGCAGGCAGGAAGTTTACTTGGGCGAATAATTTACAAAATCAGACCTTCGAAAAATTAGATAGAATTCTTGTATGTACGGATTTCGAGTCCAAATATCCTTTTTCTAGTGTCCGAGCATTGAGCAGAGATATTTCTGATCACACTCCACTGTTTTATAGTACAAATAGGCCATCTCCGGCTTACCAGCCACAGTTTAAGTTCGAATTGGGTTGGTTGCTCAGGGATGGATTTTGTGAAATGGTGAGAGATGTGTGGCATAGTGTGTTCGTTGAGGGCAGCCCCCTAGAGAGGTGGCAAGCGAAGATCAGAAAGCTCCGCCAATACCTCAGAGGATGGGCAAAAAATGTGAGTGGTGCCAACAAGAAAGAAAAGAAGACCTTGTTAAACAAACTCGATGAGCTAGATAAAAAGGCAGAGAACTCTTTGCTTGATGAGTCCGAACTAAACCTAAAACATGTGTTAAATCAAAGGCTCGCTGAAATACTTCGAGAAGAGGAACTCAAATGGTACCAAAGGGCAAAGGTTAAGCACCTACTGGAGGGTGATGCCAACACAAAATATTACCATTTGTTGGCTAACGGAAGACATCGGAAAACTCGTATTTTTCAGTTGGAGGACGGTCACAATGTAATAGATGGTGATGCTCAGTTGAAGCAGCATATTACCAATTATTACAAGAGTCTTTTTGGTCCTTCGAAAAAATCTTTTATTCAGTTAGATGAACACTATGTTCATGACATTCCACAAGTCTCTGAACTAGAAAATGAGTACTTGACAGATGTCTTCTCGGAATCAGAAGTAAGGACAGCAGTGTTCCAAATGGAACATAACAAGGCACCAGGCCCAGATGGTTTTCCACCAGAGTTTTATCAGGTCTTCTGGGACTTATTAAAAGATGATCTGATGGCTATGTTTATGGAATTCCATGAGGGAACCTTGCCTTTGAATAGTCTCAACTTTGGAAATATAATTTTGCTACCAAAAAAGAAAGATGCGAAAGTGATTCAACAATACAGACCAATATGTTTGTTGAATGTTTCTTTTAAAATCTTTACCAAAGTTGCAACTAATAGATTATCTACTGTTGCCCAGAAGATTATTAGACCAACACAAACAGCATTCCTTCCAGGTAGAAACATTATGGAAGGTGCAGTAATAATTCACGAGATGATACATGAACTTTACTCGAAAAAACAAGATGGGATAATTTTCAAGATAGACTTTGAAAAGGCATATGATAAAGTAAAATGGAGCTTTCTACAACAAACTTTAAGGATGAAAGGTTTCTCACAAAAATGGTGCTCTTGGGTGAAGCAGTTCACACAAGGAGGAAATGTAAATATTAAGGTGAACGATCAACTTGGTTCATACTTCCAAACGAAAAAAGGTTTAAGGCAAGGTGACCCAATGTCTCCAATACTATTTAATATAGTGGTAGATATGTTGGCTATACTGATTGCTAGAGCGAAGGAAGCTGGTCAGGTGGAAGGGGTCGTACCTCACCTTGTCCAAGATGGCTTGTCCATCCTCCAATATGCGGACGACACAGTAATATTTATGAGCCATGATGTTCAAAAAGCTAGAAACATGAAGCTAATTTTAAGTACTTTTGAGCAACTCTCAGGGCTTAAAATTAACTTTCACAAGAGTGAGATCTTTTGCTTTGGTAAGGCAAAGGACTATAAGGGGTTTTACTCGCAGCTGTTTGGATGTGGGGAGGGTAAGTTTCCTTTCCGGTACCTTGGTTTACCTATACACACTAGGAGGTTGAGTAATAAAGATTGGTAGATAAACGAAAACAGAATTGAGAATAAGCTTAGTGGTTGGAAAGGCAAGTTGCTTTCGGTAGGAGGTCGCTTGGTGTTAATAAACTCGGTGCTCTCTAGCTTACCGATGTTTATGATGTCATTTTTCGAACTCCCAAAAGGAGTTTTGGAAAAGATTGACTGTTTAAGATCAAGATTTTACTGGCAAAATGACCAACACAAGCGCAAATATAGGCTGGCTAAATGGGAAATTTTGTGCCAACCAAAAATCCAAGGTGGCTTAGGTATTCAAAATTTAGACTTACACAACAGATGTCTGTTAAGTAAATGGCTTTTCAAATTGCTTAATGAGGATGGCATGTGGCAAGAATTATTGAGGAATAAATA